TATATATATATAGTGGGTGGGGGTGTTCTCACAGGTATTGAATGTGTCTCTCAGTCTAGATTTTTTTTATCTGATCCTCAGAGGACACAGAACTGAATATGCACTAGCTCCTTTCTGACATGCTCACATGTACATGTACTTTACCCATCAGAGGAAGCTGCCATGAGGAAGAGGAGGCTCTGTGTGAAAATGAGCCCTCGTGAGGCTGCCGAGACAGCTGTATATGACATCCAGATCACTGCGAAGTCCAAGTACCACCTTGTTAACTATACCTGTGTAGGGTGAGCTGATATTTTACTGGAAATGAATGAAATCAGTATGGTTTCTAATTTTCCTCTGCCACTAAGTTGTCTGTGCTTTTTCATTATTTGCCAATATGAGCATTTATGTTGCTAACATCCTTAATGAAACTCTTTGGTCTCATTCATATTTACACAGTGAGATAAACAACATGGGGATATGGTATCGAACGGGAGATGTTCCTCAGACGTCTCAGGAGAAAAGTAGTGCGTCTAAAACTGACATTGAACACAGCACGATAAGGTAACATCATGCTGCAAAATTCTGCAATGTAACTTTCCTCCTTGCTTTGCTTTTTTTTTATTTCCCGCTTAGTGCACTCTTTGTTATTCCTCTCTATCGGGTGTACGGCTGCGAAGACACAGGCAATTGATCACTCCTGGGCGATATGCCGTAAAGTTTGTGGCTGGACAACAAGGCAGCGAGGGCGAACTGGTGAGACAGGCTAACTAGACAAGTTGCTCCGAACAAGAACGTGAGTTCAACGAGGGCTAAACTCCAGCTATTTGTGCCGTGTCCCAGGAGGCAGAGGCAGGCCGCTCCTCTGACACGGTGACAGGGGTGTTGTACTGTGCAGAGGAGGAGGAGGAGATGTGGCCCCGAGAGTTAGTGACAGCTGCAGAGGAAGGAAGGAGAGCACTGAGGTCTCCAGCATGCATGGCTGTGTGTGTGTGTGTGTGTGTGTGTGTGTGTGTGTGTGTGCGCGCGTGTGTGTGTGTGTGTCCCCTCCACTGCTCTTGCTGCTTCAGCTTCCTCTGCCTTAGGATGCAGAATGTAGCAAACCTTTGTAATGTGTCCAGATCAAATACCTCAATTATTTATCTCAGTGAAGAGCTGGGGATTTTCACTGCAAATTGTATCTAAACAATTTAGACTCCTTCAGTGTGGTGTTGCTTTGGAGAGGGAAGCTTGGCACTGGGCTCAGTGGTGTTTGCCAGCTTGAAGCAAAGCATTCTGCCATCCTGTGCTGAGCTGAGTGAAAGTCACATAACAGCAGCAGCAGGCCAGAGGGGTGGATGCCAGGAGGCATTTTCAGAACAGAGCTTCTTTTCTCATGGTCACGCTGTGAGATGAGAACAATCAATGGCCAACCATGGATTTGAATGGATAACTGAATGGGTTTTGTGAGTCGGCCATATTTTTGGATGGTCATTTATCTTTGATGTGCTGAGGTTATGGCGTAAGCTCAGGCCAACGTGTGCCTTCACAAGCCTTTGCGGTAATCTTCAGCTCTTTTGAAGCCTACTTTCAAGTTCGTGAGGCTCAGAGGTTGGAATAAATTGCACCTCGAAGCGACTCCCACCCCCGTCCTGATGCCTGCTGAGATCACAGGCTGCCGTTTTTGTATTAACATTAAAATTCACTCCACAGTCGGAAAGTCTTCTTTTGAGAGTTTTTCCATCTGTAAAGCACTGACACATAAGGACAGGGCTGTGGGCAATTTATACTGTGGCACTTCTTTGACTATTTCTGTGTAGTAACATACATTTTGGGCAGCCATACACAGAACTATAAGTAGTTCAGCATGTTTTTTGCCGTAGATTAGTTTGACACAGTGATTTATAAACAGCCCTTCAACTCTCACAGAGTAGTGAAATGCATTGTGTAACAAAGTAAATTGTTTCTCACCTCTGTACTTTGAATCATATTCAGCAGGAGAAAACTCTCCCCTCCATTCCTCCTTCAGGCTATCTATAACAACTTTATGGCCTTTGGAGAGAAGCACCTCTTAAATTTAAGTGCTCTTTACAGTCACTGGAAAAGATGTTTTAAATACAGTCAATAATGTGTAAATTTTTAATGACCCTTATAATTTTGAAAGCGCAGCGATCCCTCCCTCAAATCTCAGGTTGCCTCAGGCAGAAAGAAGCCCGTTAGTGTTGTGTACAAACGTAAACCACAAATCAGGTTTTTCGGCAGCACAGAGAAGCTGTGGTGTGTTGCATCATTATGGGATGCACAAGGTTATTGCATCAAGGCAAATGTGTTTCACTCAAATAGTTTTTTTTTTTCAATAGTCCTCAAGGGGGCATAGGAGTTTGCCCAACCATTCTATGAGTTTTGTAGACTTAAAGAAGGCGTTTGACTGTGTTCCCTGTGGGGGGACACTCTGTCAGTATGGTACTGAGGGTCCTTTGCTACAGGCCATTCAGTCCCTTGTGATGCAAAAGTCTAATTTGCAAAGCTAGCAGTAGGTCTAACCTCAACAGGGTGAGAGTCAGACTTTTCCAGGGCTGTCCATTGTCATCGCTCCTGTTCATAACTTTTATAAACAGATGTTCTCTGTGCAGCCTTGGGGTGGAAGGATTCCTGCTCTGCTATGTGAGGATGGTGTGGTCTTGTTGTTGTCATCGTGCCATGATCTCCAACTCTCACTAGAGGTGCTCACAGCCAAGTATGAAGCAGCTGAGATGAGGATCAGCACCTCCAAACTGAAGGCTATGGTCCTTTGTTGGAAAAGTGTGGCCTGCCCTCTCTGGGTTGAGAGTAAAGCGCTGCCTAAAGATGTGTTCACATCATGCCTCAAGTGTTGACATCTACATATCTCAAGGGGTTCACGGGTCAGGGTAGGACGAGATGTGAGATTAACGGATAGAGTGAGTCTTCCACGGTATTGAGTCTATCGTGGTCCAATGTGGTGAAGAGAGAGCCGGACTGTAAGACAACGCTCTCTGTTTGCTGGTTGGTCTCTGTTCCTGCTGTCATGGTCACAAACACTGGACAGTGACTGAAATAACAAAATTGTGGTTACAGGTGGTCAAAATTAGTTTTCTCTGGTGGAAAGCTAGGCTCTGGTGTTCATTCTGTTAATATTTAAACTTTCAGAGAATATGAATCTTAGACCTATTTCTTACACTGTCACTACTGCTATCAACAAAATACAGATAAACACAATTTATTATTTTAAGGATCACAATGAATACCTATTTTCATTTTTAAAGGGCCAATATTATGTGATTCTCAGGCATACTGTATATTTAAATACTATACCATAATAAAGTATCTATGTCACCTTTAGGTGTTAGTAAAATGCTGTTTTTATGTTTAAATAGAAAATAAACTTCTCATCACTTCCTCTTCTAAACGCCTTGAAATTGGCCTCTGTCTCTTTAAGAACCTCCTTCTGCTTCTGTCCCATCCCGTTCGGTGCTGGGGGGTTGCACTTGGTGGGGAGGGGGGGCTGCCATGATGCAGTTTACTTGGCATCTGAAAATACATTTCCTCGAAGGTATTTTTAATCTGGAAAGAGCTTCACTGAGTGAGAACTAATGTTAGGAGCTCAGCAGACAGTTAAGTTTCACTTTCACCCAAGAGCCTGCAGGAGTCATGGGCGGGGTGTGTGGGGAGGGGGGTGCTCCTCCATGAGGAAATTCAGCTTAAAGACACGTCCCAGGGGCGTTTCTGGTCCCCACCTGTCGTTCTCCTCCTCAGCATGGCTTCCTAAAAACTCTGCAGGATTTCTCAAACATGCATGAATGAGTCAGAGCAAGGCTTTGGGCATGTTTTTATGTGAGAGTATAACATTATAACATGATATAAAACTCAAAAAAGTTGATTTTACATGATATGGTAGTCCCTTTAATACATTGAACATATTGCCTGGCCAGTCAAACTTTTAAAAAACGCATTGTTAACAATCTTAAGGTTCTCAATATATTTTGTTGTTGTTGAGAACTGCTTACCTCAGATGAAAAAGAGGGAGCATGCAAATGTTCTTGATGGCTTAAAAGTGCAGCATGAACTCTCTTTACTTCTAGTTGCGCCCTGCATGTTAAATGTATTGTTATCAAGTTTGTTTAACACATTTTTAAGCTGTGACAGTGATCTTTTTTTATTCATCTCCGCATCTTGATGTCAACCCCTTTAGTTTGTTCTGCGTCAAGACAGACTATATCGGCCCCTCCTTGACTTTATAATGTAAAAAAAATAAACCTGTGCCGTTTGGTATGCTTTTTAATGTACCTTGTAAAGTATCTTCCCCCCTTCCTCCCCCTGACCAGCACTGCCATTTGTTCTCCTGATAAAACTGTCATTGCTGAAGCTGATATCTGACCTCTACGATGACTGCTAGCATAAATTAGCCTTGTCCTAATATTGCAATTTCTTTCACTTCACTCAAAATCAAGGTTTTTGACATTTCTCTTAGAATAATAGGCTATTGTACACACGGGCACTTTTTAAATCAAACTGTACAGTGATAAAAATGTCAAGGCTAGGGATATTTTTTTTCTTTGCATAGCTGACGTTTTCACATGAAGTCTAGAGTGTCATCAGTGTCAGAAATGGCATTCATATCAATACTTTCAGAAATGCAGTCGTCTAACTGTGACACTCCACACATTGGTGAAGCTCTGCTGGAGTATTGTATCAGCTTTCATTGCACGCTGGTTAACCAAGACTTCCCACTGCACAAGACTCTTGAGAGAAATAGACACGGTGACTGTCAGTGTGTCACATGACAGATCTGTTGTGTGAGGTGTTGAAGAACAATCCTTCCCGGCTCGATCTCGCTCATTACTTTGTGTTCAGAAAAAGTTGCAAGAAGCAGCGGTGATCAAGCAGAGGGACGCGGAGCGCTGCCAGGAATGATTGAGTGATCAGGTGAGATCAGATGGAGATGCAGACGAGATTCGGGGATTTGCCACCAAATTCAGAGAGATCCTCTCTTCGGCAGCTGACACTGAGCTTAAAGGAGGATAATGATGGGTGAGAAAGCAGCTCCCACAAAGCAGCACCACTGGCACATTGAGGAAGGTGTGGGGATGTTGTCACAGGAGAGGCTGGATGTGTGTCAAAACAAGAGCTTCCAGCTTTCCGTTTTGCAGCTCTGGCTTTTGGCTCCGTGATATTACTCTCATTCTCATCGTACCTCCACTGAGTCTGTGCTCGCAGTCTCTTTGACTTTTTCTGCTTGTGATTTTTATTTTTTTAAGTAGACAACTCTTTTCTTTATATCATAAAGAACAAGTAAAACTTTGCAAAGCACATTTGTATAAATTGCAGTTCATATCATAAAAGTAATCTTTTGTTTTGGGGGTTTGCGTTGCCGCACTAATTTGATTTTTACCTGTGCAGATTTCATGGGAACATAATATATTTTTTTATATCCTCACTGTAATTGCGTAAATATTTCAGGCCCTGTTCCCAGATTTACTCTAATTTGATGAGGAACTTCACGGTAATTGAATATTTAAATTAGGAATATGTGTCAATATGGCTCTCCTTGCCTGGAATGAGGATTAATTGTTTCCAAAACTCCAGTGGCCAACGTAATATGGGCCCCAACACTGCTGTTGATTAGCAAATGCACTTGCCATGTTTTTGTTTTAAGAATTAGTTGTCTAATTGATTTGCCATATGCTACTCTCTCCAATGCACCTAAAATTGTATTTAGAAATCAGTAATTTGGATTGAGACAGGAATTTGTTGTTGTTGTTGTTGTTGTTTCTCAAACAGATGGGAACGTCAGCCCAGGAGGTTGCCTGTATGAAAGCTTTTCAGGAGCAAATTTGTGCTCTGCTCCCAGTTTTTAGGGAATAGAGGTATCACTTTCACCTTTTCAGATACCCACATGAATAACCAACCTTAAAGCCATTCTGTCTGCTTTCTTTGTTTATTTTGAATATAACAACACAGATACACAACTGAAGCCTTAAAAGACACACAAAACCATTTGGCTCTACTTTATCTGCCCACGTGTTGTCTTTGTGCATTTGAGAGACGTGTACTTTTTCTTTCCTCAGCAATGGAATCAACCTTTGCAAAGGTAAAAGAAGTCTACGCTGAATGTGGCAGTTGTTCCCACAAGATTGATGCCAACCTTTTAAAAATTCACCATTGGCCTGGATTTAACATGGCCAAATGCTGATGTAAATGAGGTGGAGAAAAGTCGACCCTTTCATTGCGAATAAATCTGAGTTGCAGGCTTCATCTCATAAATACCACAGCCTGTCACAATTCTTGTTTTATTGCTGTTGATGGAAATTATTGTGTTTATTTCCCTCACCCAAAGACACAAAGCTTGAAACATCACAACTCAAATGCAGCACTCTCAGAATGGTTTTAGGCTTCTTTCTATTGGGAATGTTTTATTTTGCACCCACTTCAAGCTAGGAGTGTGTTTTTATCAACACAGAACATGATCCACAAAAAACTCTATTATTTGGAACTTCCCACCTGCTCACTTGATGAATATGTATTTATTATATTCCAAAACAAATCTCCTACTTCCTCTGTTCTCCTCTTTTTCTTTTTGATTGTCATCTCAACATCGTACACCTTTTCTGAAGCCATTTCTAAATGCTTTGCTTTGTAATTATATTATTTAGTTTATAAAACATTTCTGGAGATCATTTTCTCTCCAAAGCACGTCAGGTTAGGGCAGCTCTCTCTGAAAACTGTGATTTCTTTTTTTTTCCTGCTTGCTGTGGATTTATCGATCCACTCGGGTGAGTCACAGGGTGTAATTCATGATAGCTTGATTGATGAGGATTTCAATCTTATATGGTTTGTTAACTTCAACTGCCCACAAAGTGCATTCTGTGCTGTTTTCTGTAATACAAGGCCATGAAAATAAATAAATAAAAGAACAAAAAGAATTGTCTTCTCTTGAATAATGGAATCTCTCAGTTCCTCAAGAATTAACAAGATTCTGCTACAAACCCCTGTTAAAGGTCTGTTCAAGCCCCTGGGCAGCCGAGGCACTGCTGAACTTTACCATGTTTCTCCCCTCTGGATTCACTCTGTTATTTCTATGCTGGTTTGAATTTAGATACTTCAGACAGTTTTTTCTGTGTAGATAGAAATTTGAAGCTTTTGATTTTTAAATGTATACATTTTTTTCAGAAAGATTCATAAGCCTTTTAACATTCTGAGTTTCATTGCATTTGTTTTGCAAGCTATATCATTGTTTTTTTGTAATATGTTTTAAGGAACATTGTTTTATTATTATTTATTTTTTATTTATTTTTTCTGCCAACAGGAATACTGTCAGCAGACCACAGTATAAACAGCACAGCAGTTGTAACACCATGACAGGTAAAACATCTCACACTAGTCAATATTATTTATGATCTTTATGTTCCTGTAAACAATCAAAAATGTATACTTGTTGCTCAAATAAACATTTATGACTTTACAACTATAGTAGTTGTCAAAATATGCAATTTTCTWATGTTTTTGATTTGAATTTTTGTATTTGTGTGATAAAAAGAACCACTAAATACTCGCCATTCACTACCAAAATTCTACAACATAATTTGTAATAAATGAGAAAAGTCAGCAAAGTCAAGTTTTGTTGCCAACAACTCTGAGTTTTCTCAAAGAAGAAAAAATCTTGCTGTTTTGTAATGTATTTGTACACAAAACATGTTTAGGTTACAGTAACCACTAAAAAATGTAAAAAAAAAATGTGTTTGAAGCATCAAAATTAAATAAGAAACATTTAAAATCCATGTATTTTGACAGCTATTGTAGTGTTAAGTCAAAGGAGGGTTTGGGGAGAAATAGTTGATTACCTGTCCCAAGTCAGGTTCCACTGCTTGCCTCAACAAATAGTTTCATCACCACCTGTGTAATTTGAGAAGGTGCTTCTCTGGAGTTTGATCTACAAATGCTCTACATCTAGATGCTCTCACAGATGGACAGAAAACATGACTTCCCAAAGAAGCTCTGCATTAACAGCTGTCAAAGGTGATATGTCAACCTTAACTATGAACTTACCATGCACATAAAATTCCCTGAGATTTTGTCAAGAAGAAATCCCAAATCAACAACAACATGATGCCCCCATGACTAAAAACTCTGGGAGGTGTGTGTGTGTGTGTGTGTGTG